AATTTCAATAATATACAATTAATGTCATTGAAATAAACAATAAAATATTGATAGCATCATAGATAAATGATTGGTCTCGCTAATCATTTATCTATAAATAGCATTGTTTTTATTGTTGAGTATGGTCCAGAGTGTTGAGGTTTGGGTTGGAAACTGCAAACTGAGTGAGGATGGCTGGAGTGGCAAATCTTTCTGCCGCTTTACCATCTTCATGACAAGATTCCACATACAACTGACATCAATACCCAAACACGAACAACTAATGAGAAAGTATTCTAGAGAAAATTTAACAAGAAAAAATCATGCAGCAGACGGGACTCAAACCCGCACCCTCCCCAATCCGGGCGGATGCATTGACCATTATGTTACCGTGACCCTAATTGTCCGTGTCGAATTTAATCTAGCATTTTTTAGGCTGCAAGGCGTGGATTTTCTTCTTGTATTTTTTTACATTTAAACATCTAGCAGTCAAATGCTTTAAATAAATACGAGAGTCTTCGTATCGTCACGTCAAAGTTTTTATGGAAAAGTTAGTTTGTTCTTACGTCTCACATCTGGTGGGGTTTCCTATACTGTTTAGTTTCCTTGGAAACCTTGACGTTGGTGATATGCACACGTTCCCCAAGTTCGTGCTTGGGGCACCGAGGGGCGTGCGTGGGTAATTTTCTGTGTCTTGTTTAAACAAAATTACTAAGTATAGGTCGCGGTCAACGATATTAAATACCCTAGATACACCAACACGAACAAAATCATGCCTGAAACCTGTCCAAAAGGTACATTGGACGAACAACGGAGCTCTGTAAGATGATCACGTAGTCTAAACAATATAAGGCATTATTTAAACATTGAAAATCACCTTTAAAGCACACTGTATAAGGTCTTAATTAAAATGCATGGGTCAAAGAGTTATGACAGTCCGAGATGTAAGCTCGTAAAATTTTCTACTTATACGTAAGAGTATAGACCTTATTTCTTTGACTCTACGCGCAATTCTGAATTCGTGCTGTTAGCAATATAGCAGATACGGACCGCGAAGAAAAGGGACGGCTATATTACCGACCATGCATTTGAATATCACAAATATTTTCTATTCAGTTTAAATAGTAAGCATTAAAACAAAATTTGCTTGAAATGCGTTAAATTAACAAACATTGATTAGATACCTGTCGAAAAAACTTCATTTTACATACTATAAGTATTTATTTCGCATTTTTTCACGGAGCTCAGCGGCATGTTGACATTTCAACGGTCCGCGCGTGACTGTGAACCAAGAAGTGCTTGAGTCGTGTTCAAGCACTTCTTGGTAGGGACACATTTTGAGCGCACGTGGTTTATCTAGGGTATTTAATATCGTTGGTCGCGGTACGTAACTCTAGTGCTGAACAAAACGCGGAGGGGATAGCTGCGCATGGGTACGACTGGAGAGCCAATCGGCGAAACGCCCGCCCACCCGCGCACCTCGATTTCCCACCAAAACATCCTAATTCTTACTTACTGCGCAATACCGATCAGCGCTAGAGTTTCGTGCCGACTGATATGGTGCAATATATTTTAATTTTGTCTACAGTAGACAAGATGTGTATTATAAATATAAATAAATAAATAAATATTTCCAACACTCACACCAATTGGCCTAGCCCCAAAGTAAGCACTGTTAGGCTTGTGTTATGGGATACTAGGGTAACGGATAGAATACATATACTGTACATATATTAGCATATTTATTTGAAATACATATTAAACATCCATGACTGGAGTACAAATGCTCGTATTCATGACACAAACATCTGCCTCCACCGGGATTCGAACCCGGGACCTCTCGAGTCGGCGACATATGAAACCCGGCGTCCAAACCACTCGGCCAAGGAGGTCGTCAAATGTATGTATAAATGTATAATATATTTTGAATAATATGTATAGCATTTGGCAAGAGTACATGTGTGTGTATTTATTTATTTTTATTAATTTACTCTTTATTGACATTTTACAACAAATAACGGACGTAGTTCCACATGTGTATCCTACTGATGTGACTTTGTATGACCACAGGTAAACGCTAAGTTGAACTGCCGATACTTTAGGAGGTTCGTTGCCATTTTGAAAAATTTCCCGGTTATTATTAGTTACTGGCATTGGCAGTGCCATTGTTACATTTGTCCAGAAAGCAAAAGATGCAGGTTTTTAGCTCTAAGGTAAATTGAATTTTATAAAGTTGCATTAATTTCTTTTATATTACCTATAATACGAAACACTTTACTGTTCTTTGAAGCGTCCAAAAGTAATCTTAATGTTATAAATGCCTTTATTAAGAACTAATGGATCCCGCAACTTCATTTTCTCAATCTAAACAATCCATTTTCAATACAATCTTTCAAACGCTTCGAGTTTTAGCTTCACAATTAAAAGTACCCTCTGTCCTTTTTCAAAGAAACCCTTTATCTCTATATCAAAATTAATTAAAATTTGTTTAGTATGTGTATTATAAATTACCTTGCGAATTTATAATAGACTAGCGGCCGCCCGTGACATCGTCCGCGTTAACTTAAGTTTTTTGAAAAATCCCACAGAACCTCATATTTTTTGGGATATAAAGTATCCTATGTCTTAATCCAGGTAATAAACTATATGTGTGCCAAATTTCATCTTAATCTGTCCAACCGTTAAGACGTGAAGAAATAACAAACATACACACAAACTTTCGCCTTTATAATATTAGTGTGAAATTGTAAGAAAAAACTCTTACGAATACGGAGTGTGGATATCTACTACGCTGTGGCACAAAATAGATACTAATTATATACTTTGTGGCTGTGGCATTCATTGTATTTCTAAAGGCCTTCGAGCAAAGTTTTAGTAGCTATTCATCTACTTCTTCAATTCCTTTTATTATTCTAGAAAACTAGTCCTCAATGTAAGTAAATACTTATACAAAACCGCAAAACGAACTAAAACTAAAATTGCATAGCTTAAAGGATTATTACAATATTTAATGTTTAATTTATACCTCTATTTTTCTGCCGAGTTGTTTAAAAATCTTTAAAAACTAAATTAGTCTTTGTTATGTTATTGACACGATTTTCATTTTTTTTTCTGAGTTTTTGTGGCTTTTTGTCTATTGTACCCCCCCCCCCGCCCCCATAAACGCTTTCAAAGAACACAGATAGAGGTGAGAAGGGCCTTGTGGACGGGGCAGGCGCGCAACAGTTATGTGCGAGCAAATGCTCATAACTTGACCAAAACTTGGTTCTGATTGCGTTGTTGCTCTTCGGGTGTGAGCGCTGATTGGTTCGATTGTTTGATGTCGCGTCGTTTGATTGGCTATTATCTATGCAGTGGAAGTGTAGTATGGAGGAGCCGTCGATATAGGCTCCGGTAAAAATGGTCTATGATCACCCTTTTAACCTCCTTCTGTGTTCAGAGGGCGCTTTATTATAGGTGGACAAAATAGCAAATAAGAATACCAATATATGAAGTGTTGGCGTAAAGTCCATAGGACACCGCCAAAGTAGCGCCAATGTAGCGCAAAAGGAGGTTCATTATAGGTCAAGGCCGTGCTCAAGAAGGACGAAATAGACACTTTCATGTAAATAAAAACCAGCCAAGTCCGAGGTTTCCGTATAAACCTGTAGTTAGGTATATAATAATTATTAAAAAAATATAATTATGTGATGTAACGAAAAATTTACGGTTTTCCCAATTTTCCTTTATCTGTGCTATATCACGTTACTTCGCACCAAGTTTCAAGATTCTGATTTTACGGGAATTAGTACCCTGCAGGTTTTGATTCCCTTTCGAGTTTCGAAAATTTGCCGCATAAACGGCTGTATCTTTATCTTTTGATTGCGTTGGCTTAGAAGTTTGATTTTTTCACAGCTCTAAGTGACAGTATTGGATATAAATTTCAGCTTGATACCTCCATGCTTCCTGGTAAAAAGTGTCTTGACAGACGAACGGACTGACAAAAAAGTGATCCTATAAAGGTACTCTAAAAAGTACAGCAAATCCTTGCAGTTTTATTTAATATTAGGAGGTGTACCTACTGCCTTTTTCAAACGAAGACAAGCGAGTTGCGGTCATAATTGAGAAAATGCTCGGTAATAATATAGTAGGCGGACACAGTACATCATCAATACACTCATCGCTAAAATTAAAGTTTGTTTGAAATTGACCACCTGCGTTGTAGGTACGTTTTCAAGGTATTACCTACCTACTCCAGAGGTCCTTGGTTCGAATCCCAGAGGAGCCAATGTTTGTATGATTAATGAATACGAGCATTTATTTAAACCTTAAGCTAAAGAAATACTTATTAATGTTTTTATATCCGTTACACAAGCCTTACAATGTACTTTGGGAGTTAAATCTATACGTTTTCAGTTTTGGGTTGCACACGGTGCACGGTTGAAATACTTAAGTCCCCTATCTCTACTTTCTTTCCAAAAATTCGTGTCGCCCATAGTCTAGATCCTGAAGATTAGATAAAGGTACTTAAGTTTAAATCATAGTTGCGTCATATCTTCTTTATTGCAATAGGTGTTTCAATTCAACAATGAAAAGTCTTAATGACACTTGAGTCATTGTGGTTAATGGTACATTAAATATATGTTTTTAGAAATATCTTACTTAGATTTAATTTTCACTTTTTAAGTTACGCCCCTTATTATTTTTTTGTTAAATTAATATCAAGAATTGAGTATAATATTTAATTTAGATGCTTTAAAAAAACTAAACAAAAGAATAGGGTTCTATGAAAAACAAGCAACAAAAAATAAGTTTAATAAAAAAGATAGACATAATATAAACTTACGAAATAATAAAAGGCACGCAAGACTATTAAAAACCTACCAATTTAAGGATACTAAATATATATATTTAATAATCAAAGCCAGCCACAACTGGTCAATACAAAATACTGCCGATACGAGTATTAAATGAGATTCAATCATAATAAATTCATAGCAGAAACAATATGTATAAAACATGTTATTTTTAATAGAACTTACCTTTAACAGGAAACAGCGTATAAGTAACTGCCAGTAAACGATAAACATCGAACGTGCGGTCACATTTTCATTGATAAAAACCAAATTTAACAATTTTATAAACACACACTTTTATCGCGTAAATCTTCCGTACGTATCATGCCGTTTAACACAGTAGGTATACTGACTCTACGCTCTTCCAATTCTAATCTATAGACACAAGCGCACTCCGATTCGCACGCGGTCGCAAAACATCCAAGAGCAAAAGAGATGATACGAAAACATTCAGTAAAATACAAAGTAAGAACAGAGATAGCTGTATGAGTAAAGCTACTGTTTCAAATGCCCAAAGCTTCCGCGGTGTTTACGTGACGTAATCTAACCGCATGATGTCATGGTAACGAACGTGTTGAAGTAGAAGCCGCCATTTCGACATCCAGTTTAATTTGGGAGTTAAAGCGGGCTTTTTGAAATCACTTTTAGTCGGCTACGTTCATAATTTATTGAAAAAGGGGATAACATCTATTCGGATCATTCATCTCAAACTTTACTAAAGCGAAAGCTGCACGTTAAAAGTGGTTTCAAAAAACTTGTTAAAAAGTGTCCTTGACTCGTGCCTTGACTCTACCAAACACTTAAAAATAATACGCATAATTATAATACCTCTATAACTGTGGTTTTATCTATACTAAAATTATAAATTTGAAGAGTTTGTTTGTTTGGTGGAACGCGCTAATCTCAGGAACTGCTGATTGGAATGAAAAAGTTACATAGTTCATGTATGAAGAAATTGTTCTTCTTTAAAAGTTCTAAAAAAAAGTCGTCGACAGCATATGTTTATCTTTTAAGTTTGACATGCTATAACCTTTTTTATATTACCTTATAATCTTTGTTCTGAAATAATGCATTAATTGTGAAGATGTTTTTCCATAAACATGATATCAATCTTCATCAAAATAATAACGTTATTCATCACAGGTATTTGATTTTTAACAAAATTTCCCTGTCATTATTTGATATCAATAAATATCTTAGGAGATATCATGGTTTTAAAACAACTCCGTAAGAAAATGAGTATCGAGTACAACTAATCAATCTACTAATAAAAAACAAATAATCAATATAATTACTCAGAAACAACAGTACTTTGATTAATAAATAGTAATCAAAAATTTAAATAAATAATAATATACTCCCGTCTGCTGCCTGGTCCGCGTGTTTTTTTTTAGTTATATTTTCTTTTAATTTAAACAGCAAGCAGTTACATACTTAAAAAATAAAAATTATAATTGATAATATAGTTTTTCTCCCAACAATATTCCATACTCCAATTCCAATTTCTCCCAACATATATATCCAGCGGTGCTGTTTCGGACAATTCCAGCGACCGACGACCATCCGCAGGATGCCATTGCAAGTATCTCGCACTCGCTGCTGTAAGGATGCGACTTTCTTGCGAATAACAGCATGTGATGCGCTACAATAACGAGGCAGTCGCATCTGCATCCGGAACATGTCATTGTATTGGATACGTAGGTCACCGACAGCCTGGCGAGTGTGGCTAAGGCTACTCGAGTAGAAGGATTATACAGTAAGCCTTAAAAAGTGTAATTTTCTCTTTTATCGAGCAGCGTCCAACCCTGCGCGCAATCATGTTTCCCCTGACTGCCAGGGCCCTACGCTTTCTTTCGCTGTCATAGTCGTCGCTGAGGTCCTCCGTCACAATATGTCTCAAGTACTTAAAGATGGTTACCCTTTTTAGAGCTGCGCCATTTAGCCTTACAGGCGGTACATTTACAGGTGCACTTCTACCACTTATAATAAAAAATCAAAAAACCCGACTGCTTAATAATACTTCAAATAAAAACTGAAAAGAAAAAAACAAGTCCAGTAGTCTATAATTCTGTTATTAAGGAACAAAGCTACTTTAACAGTCGGGACCCATTAGATATTCAAGAATACATAATATTTTCAACAGTGGGTTTGAGGCAAGGCAAGGAGGTGGAGGCAAGATTTGTATGTTTGTAGCAAATAATCTGTCAAACTACTGAACCGGTTTCAAATATTAATTCATCATAAGGTAGCTACATTATTTATTATAACATTTTTCTTTATTTAAATACATTTTGTCCGAGTGACATAGGCTATATTTTATCCCGATAAATAAATTTCGCCCGTACAATGCCCGGGTGGATCACTAGTAAGTATAATATAATATTATATATGCGAAAGTGAGTTTGTTTGTTGCGCTTCCGTGCCCTAATAGCTAAATCGAATATAATGAATTCCCATATACAAGTAGATGGGAACTTGGTTCTTAGCTACAACATCGCAATACTTATAGGCGTAGGGTGATAAAAGGGGTGATTTACCTATAAAAATCTACATTATTTACTTTGAATTTTGCAGAATTATTACAAAACCAATATTATCGCGAGCTGATTAATAAATACAGGGATTCCAATAAGTATGTACTTACTAGCGAAAAATGGGTTATTTGTCATAATATTAAGTAAACCTTTTTTGTAACCTTAAGTAATATCGTTAAAAAAAATGAAAAACAGTAAAATTCTGAGTTTTTCATTAAAATTCAATAATCATAAATACCAATTATGATAATATATTTTTCATCATTTAATAAGAAGGAACTGTATCACAGTTTTAATGTTAGTACTTGGTATAGGATCAGATACTGCGAATACCCAATTTTTTTTCTTTTACATAGTACACCGCGCTATCACTTTGTCATCGTTGTAGCTTTTTAAATATTTGTCGAAATGACATAGTGTAAAAAACAAAGTTTATCGTCTTCAGATATCAAAAGCGATTAAAGTATTTGTTTTGATAAAAAATGATTTGTTAATACAAAATGTGCATTTTGGAAATAGATATCAAATAATATTTTAGTTTTGATTCACTATTTTAGGGGTAATGACTTACACATTAAAAATAGATATACCTATGGTGTCACGGACTGTTTTTAGAACTATTTAAGAGATACATTTTCACTATACATTACATTCATGTAACTTTTATTGTTTTTTCTGTGCAGGCCAAAATGGCTCGCAGATGGGACATTTTTTCCGTCTTATGTGACACTTATTGCTATATATTGGCCAATTCACTCAATAACTACATAAATTATTATATATATGTAATTATCATATATGAGCTATATTACTGTTAAGTTCCATTACAATCCATTCAGTATTTTTTAGGTGAAAGAGTAACAAAGATCCATACAAACGTAAGATTGAAATTAAAAGCGTAAGTGGTTAATATACAACTTTAAAGCGTTGTAGGTCCTAAACAATCATATAAAATGTTAAATGGTGTTAGGAACCTAAATATGATTTTTGATTATCTAGACAGCGATACCCCCCTCGACATATTTTGTCAACTTTTTTTTTTACTTCATCACAATATGGCGCCTAATTTTGCCCATATTGAATTTTGATTACTATCATATCTTTAGTAGCACTCCCATGATTGAGACGAATCGATTGATGTATGAATCATCAAAATCGGTCCAGGCATTTGGTCTCTAGTGTGCCACAAAAGAACAAACATACATACACACATCAAAAGTGTCTAGGGATCAAGCATTTTTATGCGGATTTCTTGAGATTGAGATGTGGCTTTGTAATAAATTTATGATTTTATAAATTTATATGGATCCTTTTTGGTGCATTTCATAATTTGAATCAGGAACTGTGAATCAAATTCGAGTAAAAGATGAAAATCAGCTGTCAATATTTTCCCTATAAAAACATACAACGCATTGAAGACATTATTAGTGCTACTGTTTCCCTACTACTGATTAAAACCAACGTTATTATGGAGCGGCGACGTCATTTAAGCAGGGAAGAAATGCTCAGAGCCGTGGGAATGATAGAAGCTGGTTCCCGGCAACGTACTGTGGCTTTAGCTCTGAATACAAGTCAGAGTGTTATCAGTCGACTTTGGACACGATACCGAAGCACTGGTACCGTGGCTGAGCGCCATGGAGGACGGTATCGCTGCACCACACGGAGACAAGACCGATACATTCAAATCTTAACTCGAAGAGCTCCAACAATAACCGCCATGATGTTAGCCGTGAGGCTTCATCACTCTTCAGGGAACTTAATTAGCGACCAAACAGTCAGAAACCGCTTGCATGAAGTGAACCTTCATTCCCGAAGACCGCTACGGGTACCACCTATAGCAATGCACAATCGTAGGATTCGATATCAATGGGCTCTTGAACACAGAAATTGGGCAGAAGAACAATGGCGTTTCGTGTGCTTTTCTGATGAGTCTCGTTTTGGTATGAGACCGGATACAAGACGTATACGACACTGGAGAACCCCTGGACGCCAACAGCGATTAAAATCCTGCCAGGAAGTCCATCCTTATAGTGGTGGAACCATCATGGTATGGGCGGGTATTTGGATCGGCGGAAGAACTGAGTTGATTTGGATCAGAGGCAACCTCAACGCTCAAATTTATGCTGGGACGATTGTATCAGACGTCATCGTTCCTCTACAAGTGCAAATCGGTCCCTTATTTCAGTTAATGCATGATAATGCACGACCGCACACCGCAAGAGTTGTAAGACAGACTCTCGCCGCAGCTAACATCAATGTCCTGCCCTGGCCTGCTCAGTCGCCAGACTTGAACCCGATTGAGCATGCATGGGATATGCTACAGAGAAGAGCTCTGCCGAATATGGAGGGTATCCAGTCGCAAGAAGACCTTTTTTTGTTGTTGCAACGAACATGGGCGGCCATTCCACAGCGTGATTTGGATGAACTCATTTTGAGTATGCCAAACCGATGTTCTTGTGTTGTTAGTGTTCGCGGTAGAAATACGGATTATTAATTGTTTAAGTTACCCAATAAAATTTTAGAGAAAACTGTTATTTCAGTCTTTTTTTCGAACTTTTGTGTTAGTGGTTCAAATGTCAAAAATCCCTTTATTAGGAAAATGGCAAATTTCTTTATTAATGCAAAGGTGACTTGGTTTATCGTTACTGTGACAAACGAAAACACTTTATTTGATGAATCCTTAAAGAAAATTTTAATTAATATCAATCAGGAGAAAAGTTATTGCAAAAATATATGTTGATCCCTAGACACTTTTGATGTGTGTATATAGACTGTTAAACACATAACCCTGTCTGCGCGTCGCG